GGACCGGGCTGACGATGCGCACCCCTGGCTTGGTGCGTGGAGCAGCGACGGGCCGGACCGGGCAGACGATACGCACCCCTGGCTTGGTGCGTGGAGCCGGAACGGGCCTCACCGGACTGACGACTCGCACCCCTGGCTTGGTGCGTGGAGCAGCAATGGGCCGGACCGGGCTGACGATGCCCACCCCTGGCTTGGTGCGTGGAGGAGGAACGGGCCTTACCAGGCTGACGACGCACACCATAGGCTTGGTGCGTGGAGCAGGGACAGGCCGGACTGGGCTGACGAAGCGCACCACTGACTTGGTGCGGGGAGCAGGAACGGGCCGAGCCGGGCTGACGAAGCGCACCACTGACTTGGTGCGGGGAGCAGGAACGGGCCGAGCCGGGCTGACGAAGCGCACCACTGACTTGGTGCGGGGAGCAGGAACAGACCGGACCATACTGGGGACACACACCACTGGCCCTACATCGGGATCTGGAACGGGCCGGACCGGACTGGTAACACACCCCAGTACCTCTCGCCGTGCCTCTCCACCTTCCATCCCCTCTTCGACCAGTGGCCCCTGTAACCTGGCGGCCTCCTCTGCCAACCCGCTGGACCGCTCTATCGCGGCCTCCTGCTGCCCCGACGTCGTGAGCCCCCCCCTAAAAAATTTCTGGGGGTCTCTCCTCCCCGTGGGCCAGGCCTCTATCGTTCTCGCCCAACTCTCGCTCTTCTGCCCCCAATTCCAGCCATTCTGCTCTTCATTAGGCTTGACCCAGTCGAGACTCTTCCTCCACTGTTCCCAAGTCCATCCACTCTGCTCTTTACAAGGCTGGACCCAGTCGAGGTTGCCACGGAGATCTGCAAGCGATTCCCCTGGCGATGGCTCCTGGACACGCTGCTTGGTCCAGTTTTGGTGGGTTTTTCTGTCACGATCGTCAGGGAGAGACCAATGCGCAGCGTGATGAATGAACATGTTTACTTTATTAAATTAAAGCACGAACAAAACAACAAACGACTCGTAACGTCCACGGTGACAATGACCGAACACGGAACAAAAACCCACAAACACAAAGTGAAAAACAGACAGTTAAATATGGCTCCCAATCAGAGACAACCAGCCAACAGCTGACACTCGTTGCCTCTGATTGGGAGTCACTAAGGCAAACATAGAAAACAACAAACCAGAACCCCCAACATAGAAATAAACCACATAGAATGAACACACCCTGGCTCAACATATAGAGTCCCAGAGCCAGGGTGTGACACAATCCATGAACAGGGTTGCTGTGAGCCCCTCTTTATAGGTCTAAAATAAGATTTTGCCTCGACAGTTGTGTATAGTGCTGCTACAGCTTAGGATACTGTAGTGTAGAGGACAGGCATGATATTGATTCTTAGCCTAAATGCAAGATATTTTAAAAATGAATGTGAACATTTGAAAGAGTGAGAGTTTATACAATTGCGTGAGTGATGGTCAAAAGTGTCAACAGTTTGTTGTCAGTAAATTGCTCAACAACAATATCAACAAGGCAGGTCCTACAGGCCCTAGTTTTGTCGCACCTGGACTACTGCCCAGTCATATAGTCAAGTGCCACAAAGAGGGACTTGGGAAAATTACAACTGGCCCAGAACAGGCTGGCCCTTAAATGTACACATAGAGCTAACATTAATAATATGCATGTCAATCTCTCATGGCTCAAAGTAGAGGATAGATTGACCTCATCACTACTTGTTTTGTAAGAAGTATTGACATGTTGAATGCACTGAGATGTCTGTTTAAACTGCTAGCACACAGCTCGGACACCCATGCATACCCCCACAAGACATGTCACCAGAGGTCTCTTCACAGTCCCCAAGTCCAGAACAGACTATGGGAGGTGCAGAGCACTACATGGAACTCTTTTGGAACTCTATTCCACATCAAGTAACTCACGCAAGCAGTAGAATCAGATTGAAAAAACAGATACAAATTCACCTTATGGAACAGCGAGGACTGTGAAGATTCACACACAAAGGTACAAACACACACATACAAACACACATAACATACACACAATACACACAAGTACACCTGGATTGTGTGTTGTAGTAGAGTGGTGGCTGGAGGGCACACACTTAATGTATCGTGAAATCTGTTGTAAAATATATTTGAATGTTTAAAATGTGTATTATAATGTATATTACTGTCTTCATTTTTGCTGGACCCCAGGAAGAGTAGCTGCTGCCTTGGCTAATGGGGATCCATAATAAATACAAATACAAAATATTGTCTATCTTTATTTGCACAATTAGTCAGGCACTCTGTCAATATGAATGAATTATTGCTCGGCACATGCTGTCAATGTAAACCTAAGCAGCTTGTGCCTTGCTTGCACCTATGCATATAATCCATTTATAGCACACAGTTGGACACTTCCAGAGATTAAGTCAAGGTTAATAGGCCTACTGTTCTCTAGAGGAATATCAGTGATGCCCACCAGTGCATAAAACTAAAAACGTGTCAATTAACTGCAATTAGTCCATTATGCTCAGTTGTATACATGTTAACTAAATAGCCTAAAGTGTGAACTATTTTCATTGTCATCTGTTTATTATATATCCACTGAGGGTCTTTGTGTATGTGCCAAGATAGTAGCTCATATGATCCACTAGTGACATCCTTTGGCTTGTTCACGGGAAACAGGTGGACCTTCCTATCGGGCAGTTAAAATATCGGAACCCTTTGCATGCACCCAAACACGGATACACATGATCAAAAGCAGGAAAGTAATTATGTTGCATGAAGCCTCAAAACAATGCGTCTTTGCCTCAATACCGACAAATACTGTAAAGGCATTAAGGGGATAGGCAAGTTGCATTTTATAATCACATAGGAATGCTCAGGCGACCAACCCTATGCCAGCAGCGCATAGAGCCAAGTCACTTCCCTTTGACGCACATCGGACACTCGGGTCCGGTTGGAAACTCTACCGGTATTCATAATGTTTTCACCACTTTACTGCTCTAATGCATAGAACAGCTACTGCCACATCTCACGATAGCCTCGTAATGATGTGTCAAGTGAAGGATGGAGGAGAAACATTACTGATCCGAAAGAACCTAACCCTATGATCTAAACTGCTATAACCAGAGATTAGTAATACCCACAATTACTATTCTCTTGGACTAGTTTCCATTGTTTGGATTCATTCAAAGTTAGTAGAGCATAAGTCAAAACAACTTTGCACACTCACCTGAAGCTGCTAGTCCGGAATAGAGGACAAGGAGATCAAACTGCTTTACCCACATTGGAAAGGTGTCCGGAGTCGACCAAATTGCCTAGACCCTTGTGGTGTCCCCACCAACTCCCTAAATAAAATCAAAATGGACTCGATGCTATAAACTGGCTGAACTCTTCTGGACCTGTAGTTTAGACTGTCTGTAAACCCCAATCCTAACCGCACTGACTGGTGGTCTCAGCGATGTGGGACACGTCTCAACTCGAACCTTCCCTCATCATTTCGACGGCCTCCCACCTTTTTCGAGCGGAGTAACAAACCTTCACTCTATTCTTATCTAATTTTCACTTGCTGAAGTTGGGGAAGACAACATTTTTTATATTCTTGTCCAACCTGTTCAGCCACCAAACTTTTCAGATTCAAGTTTTACTGCCATTCTATTACTTTTTTATTGTCAGTGGCAAACTGGATTTTACAGGCTATGAACTCATGAGCTATTTCTTTCGTTTAAAATCCAGGCTAAGATGGTGCCCCCAACATAAATGTAAACAGTGAACTTAAAACACATTAGGATAAAACTTTTTTAAGGCTTCATAAAATGACATGTTGATGCTGTAGTCTATAGGTGAGGCAAATAGTTATGCCATAGTTGGCACAACACTAAATGTAGGCCTAATGACCGTTTATATCTCCCTATAGTACGCTTATAACATAATTTGCAAAGCATTTTTAAGCCTAGTGTTTATGAAGATATTTTACATTTTAGTCATTTAGCAGACGCTCTTACCCAGAGTGACTTACAGGAGCAATTAGGGTTAAGTGCCTTGCTCAAGGGCACATTGACAGATTTTTCACCTAGTCGGCTCGGGGATTAGAAGCAGCGACCTTTCGGTTACTGGCACAACGCTCTTAACCACTAAGCTACCTGCCGCTATTAAGCCTATATGTATAGTTATGTGTTATGAGACTTATTAATCCAATGTTTGTTTTTATTGAGCCTTTGTAAACCAATTTTGTTGGTGTGGCCACTGGCTTTATGTCAGTTCAAAGTTGTGATAGTTACAGCAGGGGGCACAAACGAGCTATATTCGCTGGTCCTTATCATCAAGGTTCCACTCAAGGTACCACTGACGCTCTCATCCAAACCTGTCAATAATACACAAACATCGTTTTTTTGGTTTATTCATTTCAAATGAGAGACTTTGTCCCAAATAACTTATTGTAACAGACACAACACAGGCCAACACATAGACCTACAGCAACACAATAAGACACAATAAGAAACAAGATGTCAAAATCATTCAGTCACATCTACAAGTCAAAACCATGGGGTGTGGTATTGTAAAACTAATTAAGGTACTGGCCTATGCATTTTCTTTAAAAAACAATTATGTGGGATGGAACTAATACAGTATAGGCCCAGAGCCGGTAGAGAAAGCAAGACACCCCACTCCCTCATTTTTTTGGGTGCGGCGCCACTCTGGTCTAATTATTGCCTCCGGCGGGCGGGGAGAGGACAATAAGTAGACCAGAGCCATTGGTCTCACTTGGGAAAGCATGCTTATGTGAGAGAGGGAATGCCCACTTACACAGACAGGAACCTTGACCATCTTTTCCTTTGGTAAACTGCCTGAGTAAGACATCTTCCTTTATCCATCATATTTGATAGGCCTACAGTATAACCACATAACAATCGCATACAAGCATTCACTTCCTGTTGCAAAGGGGAGAAGAGAGAGCGAAAGAGAGAGAGAGAGAGAGAGAGAGAGAGAGAGAGAGAGAGAGAGAGAGAGAGAGAGCGAGAGCGCCCTTTGGATGACTATTGTTGACTTGTCACAACTTAAACAGTTTCTGTCTCCTCTCTATCATTTTCCTGAGTCTAATTTGGATCTGCTTCAAATCCAAATCCTAGTTATCTAGAATTTAAGTTTTATACTGCTGAAAATCAAGATATAAGAAAGTGTGTCTGAGAAGTAGAGAAAATGAACAGAGCTGGCATTAATGGCGGGCTTGTCTTCCTCCTCCTCATCATGACTACGGTGGAGGGTAAAGGTAATGTAAAAAATATCCCTGTCTTTTACTCTACAACATTTACCCTTTCCTTATCAATTATAGACTCAAAACAACACATTGTAGAGTCCATGCCCTGATTAATTGAGGCTGTTCTGAGGGCAAAGGGGAGGGGGAGGGGGGTGCCGGAGGGGATGGCTGTCGTTTTATGGACTCTTAACCAACCGTGCTATTTTGTGTGTTTTTACGCATTGTTTGTAACTTGTTTTGTACATAATGTTGCTGCTACCGTCTCTTATGAATAATTTTTCTTTAATGAGTCGGACGAGAGGGATTTGCTCCAGACACCCGACAGGGATCCCCGTCATTCGCAGTAGAAAGAAAATGACGAACTACAAGCACGTATATCCTACCAACGGGACATTAAAACTGTAATATCTTATGTTTCACCGAGTCGTGGCTGAACGAAGACATGAATAACATACAGCTGGTGGGTTATACACTGTATCGGTCGGATAGAACAGCAGCCTCTGGTAAGACAAGGGGTGGCAGTCTACGTATATTTGTAAACAACAGTTGGTGCATGATATATAAGGAAGTCTCGAGGAAGTCTGCTCGCCTGAGGTAGAGTATCTCATGATAAGCTGTAGACAACACTATCAAGAGAGTTTTCATCTATATTCTTCGTAGCTGTCTATTTACCATCACAAACCGATGCTGGCACTAAGACCGCACTCAATGAACTGTATACGGCCATAGGAAAACGCTTATCCAGAGGCGGCGCTCCTAGTGGCCGGGTACTTTAATGCAGGGAAACTGAAATCCGTTTTACCTCATTTCTACCAGCACGTTAAATGTGCAACCAGATCCACCGCTGATGCAATCTCTATTGCGCTCCACACTGCCCTTTCACACCTGGACAAAAGGAACACCTATGTGAGAATGCTATTAATTGACTACAGCTCAGCGTTCAACACCATAGTGCCCTCAAAGCTCATCACTAAGCTAAGGATCCTGGGACTAAACACCTCCCTCTGCAACTGGATCCTGGACTTCCTGACGGGCCGCCCCCAGGTGCTAAGGGTAGGTAACAACACATCCGCCACGCTGATCCTCAACACGGGGGCCCCTCAGGGGTGCGTGCTCAGTCCCCTCCTGTACTCCCTGTTCACTCATGACTGCATGGCCAGGCACGACTCCAACACCATCATTAAGTTTGCCGATGACACAACAGTGGTAGGCCTGATCACCGACAATGACGAGACAGCCTATAGGGAGGAGGTCAGAGACCTGGCCATGTGGTGCCAGGACAACAACCTCTCCCTCAACGTGACCATGACAAAGGAGATGATTGTGGACTACAGGAAAAAGAAGAGGACCAAGCACGCCCCCATTCTCATTGACAGGGCTGTAGTGGAGCAGGTTGACAGCTTCAAGTTCCTTGGTGTCCACATCACCAACAAACTAATATGGTCCAAGCACACCAAGACAGTGATGAAGAGGGCACAACAAAACCTATTCCCCCTCAGGAGACTGAAAATATTTTGCACAGGTCCTCAGATCCTCAAAAGTTTATACAGCTGCACTATCGAGAGCATCCTGACTGGTTGGATCACTGCCTCGTATGGCAACTGCTCAGCCTCCGACTACAAGGCACTACAGAGGGTAGTGCGTACGGCCCAGTACATCACTGGGGCCAAGCTTCCTGCCATCCAGGACCTCTATACCAGGCGGTGTCAGAGGAAGGCCCTAAAAATGGTCAAAGACTCCAGCCACCCTATTCATAGACTGTTCTCTCTGTTACCGCACGGCAAGCGGTACCGGAGCGCCAAGTCTAGGTCCAAGAGGCTTCTAAACAGTTTCTACCCCCAAGCCATAAGACTCCTGAACATCTAATCAAATGGCTACCCAGACTTGGCGCTCCGGCAAGCGGTACCGGAGCGCCAAGTCTAGGTCCAAGAGGCTTCTAAACAGTTTCTACCCCCAAGCCATAAGACTCCTGAACATCTAATCAAATGGCTACCCAGACTTGGCGCTCCGGCAAGCGGTACCGGAGCGCCAAGTCTAGGTCCAAGAGGCTTCTAAACAGCTTCTACCCCCAAGCCATAAGACTCCTTCTACCCCCCTTTTACGCTGCTGCTACTCTCTGTTTATTATCTATGCATAGTCACTTTAATAACTCTACCTACATGTACATATTACCTCAATTACCTCAACTAACCGGTGCCCCCGCACATACCCCCTGTATATAGCCTCGCTATTGTTATTTTTACTGCTGCTCTTTAATTATTTGTTACTTTTATTTCGTATTATTTTATATTGTATTTTTGTGTGTGATTTTTTGGGGTATTCTTTCTTAAAACTGCATTGTTGTTTAAGGGCTTGTAAGTAAGATTTTCACTGTAAGGTCTACACCTGTTGTATTCGGCGCATGTGACAAATACATTTTGATTTGATTTGATTTGAATAGTAGTAGTGTTCTTAATGTTTTGTACACTCAGTGTATAATATAAAAGCAAATTATTTGAATATTAGTGTTTTTCAGGTTTGTGGTCTTATGCAAAGGCCTACACATAAAATACTCGCCGTATGTTTGACACCCCTGCGTTGAAGCATCCGTTGTGTTTTATTTATTTAGGAGATGTGTCATTCTGGAAAACTACAGTCACAATGACCTGTCCTAATAACGGAATCTGGTATAAAGGCGATATCAAAGACGAGTCGACCAGATCTGAATATGTCATAAATAACTATGATGAAAACAAGAAAGGACATTACTATTGTGAATATGATGATGAAATGGATCAAATGAGAATGTATCAGTTTTACATTAAAGGAAAGGGTGAGTAAAAGTGTCCTAATAACATCATTTTTTGATTTCACTAATTTTCATACAGGCATTTCTATTTCATCCTGTATTCATGTTTATGTTTAGTATAACCATGTGCACTCATCTCTGTATCTCTGTTTATTGACAAACACTACTTACTGGACTTTTCAAATCATATCTTTCCCTCTCCCTGAATGCACCCCAACCCCTTTTCTCCATCCCATTTGAGCGGCCTTTTCAACCCATTATTTCCACCCCTATCCCTACCTGTGGATTGTTGGTGTTGCAGTGTGTGAAAACTGCTTTGAGCTGGATTCGACTCTGGTTGCCTGGGCCATCATTGGGGACCTGCTGGTGACAGGAGCGGTCATCCTCATTGTGTATCGCTGTGCTCAGAAGAAATCTGGACATGCTGCACCCCAAAAACGTAATGCTGTTACCATCTGATTATCCATCAGCCAACAGTGGCACTTACTGATAAGGAAAGCTCTTGACTATTTAATTTGACCATACCCAGGACTACTCAACAACAAAGTATTCAGAGATAATACAAATAGAAATTCCCTGTGACATAGTACATATAGAGTATTGATCATGTTTATTTATTTAATCATTTTTTTGTTTATTTATTAATTTATACTAATTTCTGTTTTGTTTTCCCCATAGCGACTTCCCGCTCAGCAGGCCGTGGCCCACCAGTGGTGCCTAGTCCTGACTATGAGGTAGGCCGTCTACCACCACCTCGTTGTCCATCTCTCCAGCTCTACATCTCTCCATCTGTATTCTTTACTTTTATTCCATCCGTATCTCCTACCTATCCTTCATTCCACATCTCCTGGTTAGCTAATGTCTGTCAGTATTTTAGGGAGATGATCTAGGCTAGCTATTCCCAATACTTCCGGTGAAGATGCATAAAGAATTGTGGTGTTGCAATGGAAACTGATCTGTGAATTTTGATCTGTAAATCTGACTTAAACTGATCTGTGAATCTGACTTAAACTGATCTGTGAATCTGACTTAATTAACAACAACAAATAGCTACTACTAGATAGTTTGTGTGTATGTATTGATATATAGGCTACATGTGTAGTTCTGTCCTTGAGCTGTTCTTGTCTATTAATGTTCTGTATTATGTCATGTTTCATGTTTTGTGTGGACCCCAGGAAGAGTAGCTGCTGCTTTTGCAACAGCTAATGGGGATCCTAATAAAATACCTAAAGTCTTTATTTTCCCCCTGACAGCCCCTTAGTGCTGCAACCCGCAGCAGAGATATCTACGCTACCCACAGGACTGGGTAGACCACCAGACCACACTTGTTCTCTAGGACTCCTCTGATGCCCCGGACCAGCAGACCTCAGCTCACCCTGCCATCAAAGAGGAGGGGAGAAGGCTCTGTAGTGCTTAGCTTAGACTTAAATAGCTTTTTATTTTAGCTTGATGTGTTAAATGTGTGATATTGTGATTTAGTTAAAACTGTAGTTTAGAATTACTGTAACTAGTGATAATAGTGATCAACGTAGTGATGATCTGGAAAGTAGAGAGATAAAGATCTTTGTAAAGACTTTTCGATGTGTGCTGTACTGAAAACAACTTGTACATAGCTGTGTTGATCAACTGTTGTAAAATAGTATTAATGCTTGCAGATGCCAGCCTAGTTGTTCCTCTTCACAATGTTATTGCTGTCTGTATATACACAGAGTGTACAAAACATTAGGAACACCTTCCTAATATTGAGTTTCTCCCGCTTTTGCCCTCAGAACTGCTTCAATTCATCGAGGCATGGACTCTACAAGGTGTCGAAAGAGTTCCACAGGGATGCTGGCCCATGTAGACTCCAATGCTTGCCACAGTTGTGTCAAATTGGCTGGATGTCCTTTGGGTGGTGGACAATTCTTGATACACTCGGGAAACTGTTGAGCGTGAAAAACCCAGCAGTGTTGCAGTTCTTGACATACTCAAACCTACCTACTACCATAACCCGTTCAAAGGCACTTAAATATTTTGTCTTGCCCATTCACCCTCTGAATGGCACAGATACACAATTCATGTCTCAATCCATGTCAAGGCTTAAAAATCCTTCTTTAACCTGTCTCCCTTCATCTACACTGATTGAAGTGGAAAGAGCAGGTGTTCATAATGTTTTGTGCACCAAGTGTATTAGCACATATACAGTTCTATTTTGCATTGATTCTATCAACTTCATTGTGAGCCACTATGACACAAAGGAAATGTTTGTTTTATTAAGTGTAGTGTCATGCGACTAAAGAGTGTAGATAGTTTGCGGTTCCATATCTTCAGAGTCAGCTCTCATGATCTGAGCCACAGATGCCTGCACCCCTTACGCCTACAGTAAATGATGGTGGATGATAGGCCAGGTGTCTCTGTTGCTAATCATGATGATCTCACCGGAAACATTTCAAATATGAGTGTAGGCAGACTTTACTTACCCGCATCAGTGGAAAGAAAATGTGTTTTTTGCAAGAATGTAGTGGAAATCATGTCTATTTGATGTATTGTTTTCTCTCTTTTGACAATAATAAAGACCTTACGACATTCAGGTGTCTATAGTTGTTTCCTACAGTTTTGTATCAATGACTGACTAGATAGATCAATCCAGCCCTGCACTTACACAGCTGATTCAGCTAATTATGGTCCAGAGTGAAGACCATGAACATGGAGCGTGCGCACCTGGAACCCTGGAGTGAATGGTACAGTGGCTTGCCAAAGTATTCACCCCCCTTGGCATTTTTCCTGGAATTAAAATGGATTTTTGGGGAGTTGAGTTGAAAACTTGAGCATGCATAACTATTGTGTTGGGTTTGCATATGTTTGGGGAGTCTTCCACATGGTGTTTGCTTATTTTTGTCTTTAAGCAATGGCTTTTTTCTGGCCACTCTTCCGTAAAGCACAGCTCTGTGGAGTGTACGGCTTAAAGTGGTCCTATGGACAGATACTTCAATCTCCGCTGTGGAGCTTTGCAGCTCCTTCAGGGTTATCTTTGGTCTCTTTGTTGCCTCTCTGATTAATGCCCTCCTTGCCTGGTCCGTGAGTTTTGGTGGGCGGCCCTCTCTTGGTAGGTTTGTTGTGGTGCCATATTCTTTCAATTTTTTAATAATGGATTTAATGCCGCTTGCTTGGTGGTGCCCCTTGCTTAGTGGTGTTGCAGACTCTGGGGCCTTTCAGAACAGGTGTATATATACTGAGATCATGTGACACTTAGATTGCACACAGGTGGACTTTATTTAACTAATTATGTGACTTCTGAAGGTAATTGGTTGCACCAGATCTTATTTAGGGGCTTCATAGCAAAGGGGATGAATACATATGCACGCACCACTTTTCAGTTATTTTTGTTTTATAATTTTTTGATACAAGTTATTTTTCCATTTCACTTCACCAATTTTGACTATTTTGTGTATTTCCATTACATGAAATCCAAATAAAAATCAATTTAAATTCCAGCTTGTAAGGCAACAAAATGGGAAAATGCCAAGGGGGGTGAATACTTTCACAAGCCACTGTATCTGTTAGATCTGATCAACAGTGGTTATTTTGGGGAATTTGAGTGTTGTTTGATGAATGTGTATGTTTGCAAGGTGTGTGTGAGTGTGTGTGTGTGTGTGTGGGGGGGGGGGGGGGGGATGTGAGCATGGATGTGTGGGGGTTGGTTGTGTATGCTGTGAACTCTTCCGTTTGATCTCCTCTCCAAGCTCTGTTAGGAAACCGCACTTTGTAGACTAGCAGCAGTAAACCCTCATAACTACACTCGAAAAGCATCGCATATATCATGTGCTCTGTTCCATTCGAATATCTGACACATTCGAGCTTCCTGTAGAGCAAACCCTCCACTAAAGTTGCTCTATGTGGAAAGTGGAAAGTCAGATAGAACAAAATGACTGACTCACTTGGTGATCTGATAAAACGTAGGATGAAATCAGAAATAACACAATCAGGGAACATATAAAAGTACATTATTTATTGTTACAATTGCAGTCGTTATTTTGTGACCAACTTTCCATTTCATTATTTTATTTGTTTTTATTTCACCAGGTTAGTCTCACTGAGATTAAACACCTATTTTCCAAGAGAGACCTGGCCAAAATAGTTGTTTCAGACATAATTACAACATAAAACACAAAGCACTACAATTTAAAAACAGGCAAGAATTAATTGGGGAGATGTGGTGCATCTAGGGGTCAAAACATTGACAGCCCCCCACTTTATTGTCCACCATAGATTTGACCTTAGCTTTAAACTAATTCAAAAACACCTGAATTCTTCAAACAACATTATCTGTACACAGGTTGAAAAAAACTAGAGCAAACTCAACAAAGCAACTGAGCAAACAGGAAATGTATGTACATCGAACATCTGAATGACATGAACTTGTACATTCAATGGTTCTGTACATCAAATGGCCAGTTGAGGGACTTGTCATGGACATTGTGGACCTGATTTCTCAATACTTTACAACTATTATTCTGAGGGGTGGTAAAAGTAATGTAGCACTGAGCACATTTTATTTTTACGGCAGAGTGCTGTATTCAGATCTGTCCATGCACCTTTTATTCGGGGGCTGTAAGAAAGAAAGAAAGAAAGAAAGAAAGACACAAATGGATCAATCCATGGCTATAACTTAACGAGTTTGACAAGTTATTTTGTTAAGGTCAGGATTGTGGCTCAAAGTAGCAAGGAAACACACTCGCTTCATTGTGGATGAGTCCCATTTGGCTAGACGGTCTTCATGTGTATTCTTTTTGTTTGCTTACTGTAAAACATTTTATTTTTAAGAATAGCTAAATCAGAAGTGTTTACTTCTGAGTTTTCTAAATTATATGCACAACATACAGTTGAAGTCGGAAGTTTACAGTGAGGGAAAAAAGTATTTGATCCCCTGCTGATTTTGTATGTTTGCCCACTGACAAAGAAATGATCAGTCTATAATTTTAATGGTAGGTTTATTTGAACAGGGAGAGACGGAATAACAACAACAAAAATCCAGAAAAACACATGTCAAAAATGTTATAAATTGATTTGCATTTTAATGAGGGAAATAAGTATTTGACCCCCTCTCAATCAGAAACATTTCTGGCTCCCAAGTGTCTTTTATACAGGTAATGAGCTGAGATTAGGAGCACACTCTTAAAGGGAGTGCTCCTAATCTCAGTTTGTTAATGTGTAAAATACGCCTGTCCACAGAAGCAATCAATCAATCAGATTCCAAACTCTCCACCATGGCCAAGACCAAAGAGCACTCCAAGGATGTCAGGGACAAGATTGTAGACCTACACAAGGCTGGAATGGGCTACAAGACCATCGCCAAGCAGCTTGGTGAGAAGGTGACAACAGTTGGTGCGATTATTCGCAAATGGAAGAAACACAAAATAACTGTCAATCTCCCTCGGCCTGGGGCTCCATGCAAGATCTCACCTCGTGGAGTTGCAATGATCATGAGAACGGTGAGGAATCAGCCCAGAACTACACGGGAGGATCTTGTCAATGATCTCAAGGCAGCTGGGACCATAGTCACCAAGAAAACAATTGGTAACACACTACGCCGTGAAGGACTGAAATCCTGCAGCGCCTGCAAGGTCCCCCTGCTCAAGAAAGCACATATACAGGGCCGTCTGAAGTTTGCCAATGAATATCTGAATGATTCAGAGGAGAACTGGGTGAAAGTGTTATGGTCAGATGAGACCAAAATGGAGCTCTTTGGCATCAACTCAACTCGCCGTGTTTGGAGGAGGAGGAATGCTGCCTATGACCCCAAGAACACCATCCCCACCGTCAAACATGGAGGTGGAAACATTATGCTTTGGGGGTGTTTTTCTGCTAAGGGGACAGGACAACTTCACCGCATCAAAGGGACGATGGACGTGGCCATGTACCGTCAAATCTTGGGTGAGAACCTCCTTCCCTCAGCCAGGGCATTGAAAATGGCTCATGGATGGGTATTCCAGCATGACAATGACCCAAAACACATGGCCAAGGCAACAAAGGAGTGGCTCAACAATAAGCACATTAAGGTCTTGGAGTGGCCTAGCCAGTCTCCAGACCTTAATCCCATAGAAAATCTGTGGAGGGAGCTGAAGGTTCTAGTTGCCAAACGTCAGCCTCGAAACCTTAATGACTTGGAGAAGATCTGCAAAGAGGAGTGGAACAAAATCCCTCCTGAGATGTGTGCAAACCTGGTGGCCAACTACAAGAAACGTCTGACCTCTGTGATTGCCAACAAGGGTTTTGCCACCAAGTACTAAGTCATGTTTTGCAGAGGGGTCAAATATTAATTTCCCTCATTAAAATGCAAATCAATTTATAACATTTTTGACGTGTTTTTCTTGATTTTTTTGTTGTTATTCTGTCTCTCCCTGTTCAAATAAACCTACCATTAAAATGATAGACTGA